CTATTCCACTCGGTCTAAATATAGGCGATACTTGTATGTTCGTGGTGGAACGTTTGGAATGTTGATATTTCGTTTGAAAAGTACGAGGGACAATTCTGGCGAAACTCGCATAACTCAACCAGGCGCGGGGACAACGGACGTTATGAGCCGTAAATGGTAGTAGCAGGGACGAACAAAGGCCGATCGGAAGATAGACTGTAAAGTCGGGGGCGTGACAGAAGAACGAGCTTAATACACGTTGCATTCCCAATGCAGCTGGCATAAGTAGGCGCGTATAATTATGCGCATCTCGTATTTCGAAACTGCCACTCGCTTCGTCTCTTCTCCCGACTACGCTTTCCCGTCGAAGAAAGCTTCTGATATTCAGAACGTTGATATATTAGGCTGGCGAAAATTAATTGCCATTTTCAAACATAGTAATTTCACTGAACACCATAATTATTTTTTTATCAATCCGTTCCTGCTCGATTTCAGGGTTTTGTATGGAATATGGATTAATCATTCTTTTTATGAGTAAACGAGCCATCGATATTCATTTTATAAATTCACATCACAGAAATTTTTTCATATAAATTCATTTTATTAGATCAGTTCAATTGTTGTGTTGCTCATTTTATGTGCACATCGCATTGAGCTGTTTTTTGACCGAGGAGAATGCCAAGAGGCGAGAATCGATGAACATTCACCGAAACAAATACTCGTCTTGATAAACATGAACCGATGGTTCATTCGAATAGAAAGCGTGTCGAATATTGATTTGCAAAAGATATCTAGCCTGAATATTTGCACATAGAAGGTTTCGTTGTTATTCATTTGGAGAATGATCCTGGATCTATAGAACTTCCTTAAACGAAAATAAGCTTAATTCTACGCGTTACGTTCACTCGTCGTAATATTATATAATTTCAAACGAACGTACGTTTAGATATAATAATTTGTTACGGCGCATAGCGTTTCATAGTATCCGTGGTAGACACGAGAAATGCATCAAATCTGCAGTCTCTTCGTAATAAACGATATGACTGGAAATAGCCTTAAAACATTTATGAAATAAAAAAATAGGAAGATAAATGTATTCTTCATAAGTTTAGAAATTTCAATTCAACCGACTATTTCGTGTTTCGAAATCCCTTCAGAGAGGGAACGTGTCATCAAAACACTTTGGAGGGATTGGAAAAAGGCTGTTCGCGGTGATTTATAACTGAACGATGACCAAGGAATTACGAACGAGTCTCGCTGCGAACAAAGCCTTGATAACGATCATGAATGGGGGATTCAAGATCGTCGGGGGTGACACCGTCCATCCAGAGTAACCGCGGGAGGATGATTCAAAGAGAGACTGCGATTGTAGAAAGCGCATTGAAGGAAGAAGAAAATATCAGGGGAGAAAAAGGTCTCTGGGTCACTGTGCTATTCGATTAGGTAATCAACCTTCAGCTCGATTCTCGCGTAACGTATCTCATACGTTTCATCCTACGCGATTGGATCGTATTAATATTAATATAATTTAGGAGCTTTCGAAACTTCATACATTTTTCTAAGCAACAAGAAATTGCCTCTTTTAATAATTGCAATAAATCATTATAAGAAGATTGAACTTATAGCAAATGAAATTAATTACATGAATGGTATTATAATAAATCATATTATAAGAAGAATGAAATGAACTTGAATAGTAGAGAATTGACAATCATAAATAAAGAAATATCATTAGGATTGTCGTATTTGATGATATGAAAAGTTGAGTGGATGCAGTCAGGGGGTTCAAGGTTCTTTTGAGTACTTTCTCGCGACTGCATAGGTCAGATGGGAAAAACGAAGAAAAAGTGGGACAGAACGAAAAGGACGAGACGGTGGCAGGCATAGAACTACGAAAACTGGTTTCCTCTCAAGATTATATGCATTTACGCTTAGGCGCGGTGAACGTGTGCCCCCGATGGCATCCCGACGTGCGTTCAGTCAAGGACTCCCGTTTAGAAATGCCATTGGATCCTCCTGGATCACGGGAATACTGCGTTGCAGTTTGCGAGAAAAATTTCTTCCAAATCATTTACGTTCAACGATTTCTAATCGGATGCTTCATAAAAAATAATTATCTGATTCCACGAGAATGAAAATGGTTCATATCACATTTTTCGAAAAAATTTAAATAATATATTTAATTTATATAATTGAGTCAATGGACAATAAATCGTTTTGATTAATAAAAAAATAATAAGCTGTAATGAATATTAATAAAAATAATGAATAATAATAAAAAAAATATTTCAAACTTAAACCATGAAAACTGTCTTACATTACTTGCATTCTAACATGTACAATGAATATATGAACGTCGATAAGAAATGGAAGGAAATCAGAAGCTTGAAATCTTGAAATAACTGCAAGGTGTATGAATCCAAGCGAAATGTTTCAGAAATGAAATGCACAAATGCTAATGGTGAAACGATATGCTAATCAGTGTGAAACGTTGCGGAAATCGAAATGAAAAATAAAAAGGAACGTATGAAAACGATGCGGCGCATGATTACCCGAAGTAATCCGAAGATCGGAGTGTTTGTAAATTTCGCAACGGAGTTCCCGTATGTAGAATCGGGAGAACGCGCGGATCGACTGAACACATTCCGTTCGGACTGGGTAGAACAAGATTGCTAGCTGCATTCGCTAGACTATTTGAATAAATTACGTGAACTTACGAGTACCATGTAGAATTCTCGTTCTCTTGGCGATGTTGAAGTTTCATGAAGTATATCTAGCGACAGTCTGGCTGTGACGTCGGATCCTGCAGTTATAAGGCGGTTTCAGTGTTAAAGGAGAACTTGCAGTAACACGTGGAACATTTCTATTGCAAGACATTCTTTTTCTGTCAGTGTACATCATAAAAGTAATAAAAACTGAAACAGAATCTTCAAAATATTAACACTAGATTGCCCAAGGAAGTCATTTTGACTGGTTTTGGGCAAATGTACAAATAATAATG